GAGAGAGAGAGAGAGAGAGAGAGAGAGAGAGACTCAGTTGTTTATGCTTTGTAGTTACATTTCGGGGAGTATAAGAGTTATATTCAGATTTTGAACTGCATGGGAGTCTAGTGCCCCTAACCCCTGTGTTGTTGAAGAGAGAAGTGTATATTGGATAAAATGAAGCAAGATAGAGGAAATGTCTACTATATTATTAGTGCTTGACATCAATTTTCAAAGGGCTGGTTAACATAAGCATCTTGGGAATGGTAAGTTCCACTGCACAAATCAGTGACTTTTTCAGATGATAAAGCAGTGTTTTCCAACTTGGCAGTCATTGTTTCAGGGAGACGTAGGTCACCTTATATGTGTTGTAGCCCTTGTTAAATCATTTCTTCCTTGACCTTTCAGAGTGGGATATTAAAATTAGTTTGTATGTATATATATGAGAAACAAGCCCTTTGGGAGAGAAAGAAGTCCCTACTTTCTAAGAAGGAATGATCGGGAAACACATGAGCTTCATTGCTGTTTTAAAAGAAATGGGGAAATGGGTTTGGGAGAGGAACATAATTGGAACAAAGAGATGGAAAGAGGGTTTAATAATCTTGCCTTCTGCTTCTTTACTGTTGCTTTGTGATCCCTGACCCATAGGCTTTCTCTGTGAAACATATGTGTCCAAATGTTTATGCCCTTTGAGGAGCAGTAGACACAAGGGGGCAAGATTTACTGCAGGGAGACAGTTTAACATTCTTCTACCTCTTGTTCACTGTTTGACTCCACCAGAACCAATAGCCTGAAAAGAAAAAACTCTCTGAAGGCAAAAATGTTGAAACTGAGGCTGTCCTACTTTCAGCACATCATAAGACAGGATTCTCTGGAAAAGGCAATAATAATGGGAAAGGTTGAAGGTAGCCGGAAAAGAGGAAGATCAAATATGGATTAGCTCTATAAAGGAATTCACAGGCTTGAGTTTGCAAGAGCTCAGCAAGGCTGTTAAGGACAGACATTTTGGAGAGCACTTGTTGATAGGGTTGCCATAAATTGGAGACAATGTGATGGCAAGTTAAAAACAACAATTGGGGCTTTCAGGCATATAAAATGTCATTAAACTTGGTATGAAGACAGTATAACTCCATTTAGTCCTATTTTTGTTGTTCAGAATGTAAGATTTATTTGTTTGTTTCTCTTTAAGTGAGGAAAAGACAGAACAGTTACTGGATTGTAAACAAGAACTGGAACAAACTGAAGCTGAATTCAAGAGACTGCAACAAGAGGTTTGGAAATGTGAAATTGCTTCTTAGACAGCTGTGTTCAGATCAAGTATAGTAATTTGTGTTATTGTATTTAATCAATGCATTAAGCTAGTATTTTGGATTAAAGTTCATAGTTAAGCATTGGCCAAAGAATATTAGCTCAGATTACAACATTACTAGAGTTATCCCTCATATTTGTCACTTGCACATATTTGTATCTAGCATGACTGAAATGATGCTGACCAAATTTCACTTAGAGTTTTTTTTCTGATGGATGCAGATTCCATTGTTTCTCATTGAATTTTTTGGAAACTGTTTCTGTCTATAGAGGGAGACACCGAGATTGGCGTGAACTTATATTTCACTCTATACGCTGTCCACTTTTCACATTCCACCCGTCTCCCTATAAATTATAATGATTTGTGTGTCTTATAGCACAGTGCATTTGGAAGGGGATGAAAGATTAAAACTATACAGAGGCAAACAAGAAACAATGACACAAAAATTTAGTTAGGAAAGTTCAGCCTAGCTTTTATATAAGGTACTACTTATGATATCTGCATTTAATCTTACAAAAACAGCTCTGTCTTTTTTAATGATAAATAGGAACTAGGTTCCCCCCCACCCCCGCCACGTTCCAGACCAGATGGAGATAATCAACAACCAACCATGTCTACAGTTTCCAAAGGAATAACTATATAGCAAAAACAGTCATGTGATACTTTAAATTTATTACAGCCTGGACTTTCTTGGACTGTAACCCACTTCATCAAATGTGTGAAGTGTTATACAAAATGGCAGCCATAGACACAACACACATGTTTTGGGTGGGATTATAGACAGTGAAATCAGAGGAAAACTAAATATAGTTCTGACATTGGCCATTTACCAGTGTGTTGCTGCTGAGAACATACATCCTGGCAGAAGGTAAGTCAGTTAGCATATGTAGGACAGAATCCTGTTGACATAACTTTGCACAGGTGTAATCCAGATCAGGAATTGGTAACATTTAATTTACACTAATTAAAAGTTTCCTTTCCCATTTTAGGTTCCAAAGCTTATGAGGGCTCCCTTTTGCCTTGGGGAAACTTCAAGATGGGGGTGGGGGGGAAGAGGTTTTAAAAGTAAACAACTGCCAGATCTGTTAGCGTTTAATAATCGTTCTGGTGGTGATTTTTGGCATTTAAAACCTCCCTCCCCATCCTGAGGCTTCCCCTGGGCAAAAGGGAGCCCTCATAAGCCGTGGAACCTGAAATGGGGAGATAGGAAGACTTTTAATTAGATAGGAAGCTTTTAATTAATAGGAAGCTTTTAATTAATGTAAATTAAATGTTTCTGGGGCTCAATCTGGGTTGCACTGGTGCAAAGATATGCAACAGGATTCTGCCCATAATCGATTACCTTGATTCAGTCCTCCGTTAGTAAATTATAACTTTCTATTTTTATTTATTTATTTATTTGATTTATATACCGCACATCTGGTCTGGTCGACCGCTCTGGGCGGCTTCTAATAAGGTGTATACGATAAAACATAAGAATTTTACAAACAGTGCATAACACATACAGTAATAAAACAAATAATAAATGAAAGAAAAAATAAAGAATTAAATACTGACAGGAGGGAAGGCCTGAACATACAACCATGTTTTTAGTTGACTCTTAAAAGTGCCCAGCATAGGGGTTGCACGAATAACCGAAGGAAGGTTATTCCAGAGGTGAGGAGCCACCGCCGAGAAGGCCCGGTTTCGTGTCCTTTCTTTC